GGGAGGAGGTGGGCTTGGGTAGACGCGGATCGGGTGAAGGCACCGCGTTAAAAGCAGCCGATCGTGGTCTCGCACGGGTTTTGTTCAGGTCGCGGCTGGTTTTTCGCTCTGGTACGGGTGGAATGGGGACGGGAGCTGGGGAAGGGGCTGGAGCGTGAGTCCTGTGAGAAGCGGCTGAGGGAGCTGGGGGGGCTCAGCCTGGAGAAAAGGAGGCTCAGGGGGGACCTTCTGGCTCTGCAACTCCCTCTGACAGGAGGGAGGAGCCGGGGGGGTCGGGCTCTGCTCCCAGGGAACAAGGGACAGGACAAGGGGAAACGACCTCAAGTTGTGCTAGAGGAGGTTCAAGTTGGACATCAAGAGGAATTTCTTCATGGAAAGGGTGTCAGGCATTGGGAGGGGCTGTCCAGGGAGGTGGTGGAGTCCCCATCCCTGGAGGTGTCCAAGGAACGACTGGACGTGACACTCAGTGCTCTTGCCTAGTTGACAAGGGGGGGATTGGTCACAGGTTGGACTCAATGACCTTGGAGATCTTTTCCAACCTTTTCCAACCTTAGTAATTTGATGATTCTGTGACTTTTCTCCCTGCAGCTGAGTTAAAGTTAATTTGTAACTTTATGTTATTCCAATGTTTAATGAAGATTTTCATGTTCCAGTTTTAAATCCAGTTTCAAGGCCACGGGACGTGTGATTTCAGGGCTGGGAAACACCCCCTCTCCAGCTTGTGTCCTGTGCACCACAGGTTCTGCTCCACAGGTCACATTCCTGACTGAAGCTGGGAGTTTAACTGCTGAGTAGCCCAATTTCTGTCCATGGATTATTCATCCCTTATTTGCACGGTTCCTGCACACCTAATTCCTCAGTGCTCCTCAGGTGATTTATTATCACCACAGCTCTGGGATGCAGAGACATTTCTCCATCCCTTTTAAGAGAAAGGTTCTAACATGTGGGTTTTCCAATGAGCAGAGTGGATTTTACTGGAGTTCACTAACTGGGATCTTCCCCCCCCCATACACACAATCCCAGAGGCAGGAAGGGGGGGTTGGTATCCCTATGGAAAGGTAATGGCACAGGTAACATCTGTCACAAACAGGTGCAGCTGCTTCAGGAGCCTGAGCAACTGCAGGGTGTTCCTGCTGCGGGGAGGGATTTTGGGACAGCATGGACAGAACTGAGACGTTATTTCCAGGGACTTCCAAGATCAGAATCAATAACCCTTTGGTAAGGAACAAGCTCCTGAGATCTGTGACCCAGGAATGAGCTGATATGGGGAGGGTTCAAGAGGGTCAAGATGCCGAAGGGGGTAATGTGGCTGGAAACAGGAATGCCAGGGTGAAGCTTCCCGAGGTGGTGAGATAAGGAGAAGCCTGGCCTGCAGCCTTCCTGGAAGGTGGTGACTCAGGGGGATCACCAGGAAGGGCTGGGGCTGGACCACAGCGGGGGGCACTGGTCCCAGAGTGGATCACACTCAGGGGATGGGTGCTGGTCCTAGGATAAGGGATCACACAGCGTGGGTGCTGGTCCTGGGATAAGGGATCAGACTCACAGGGTGGGTCCTGGGATGGGATGGGGTCCTGTGCAGGGGTGACAGTGCCTTGCTGGTGGCAGTAATTTATGGCCAGATTTCCTGCTCATCCCTAACCCATCCCCTGGGGTCCGAGCCCCTTAAACTGGGCTCTGGGCCTCTGAAACTGGGGTTTAGGATCCTTAAACTGGGATCTTGGCTCTCCAGGCTGGGGTCTGTGCACCTCAAACTGAGATCTGGGTCCCTCAAACTGGGCTCTGGACCCCTCAAACTGTTGTCCTGAACTCAGACTCGTTCCCCAAGTGCCAATTTCCACAAAAGGCTGGATCCCACTCCCTGATTAGCAGAATTTCCACTATTTTTGAGTAGGGGACTCAAATGGGTTGGCGGTCTTGACACTCTTCTCTCTCCCCCTCCTTCCCCCCCCCCTCCATTTTTGATCGCTGTAAAGTGGATGTTTTCACACTCACTGGTGGGGTTTGGGGAGCAATGCCCCCAAAAAATGTTGGGGAGACGTAGGGGGAAGGTGTGGGAGGGGTTTATTTGGGGGTACAGAGAGAAAAGGGGGCTGAGGAGACTTCAGGATTGAGATCTGGGGTCACCCCTGGAGGGGGGAAGAGTTTGGGGGGACCCTGGGGATGCCAGGATGGGCATTGGGGTCCTCTCTGGGTAAGGGAGACCCCAAGGTGAAGATGTGGGGTCCAAGCATGTGTTTAGGGAGGCCCCAGGATGGATTTTGG